TCAGCGTGGATATCGACAGCTCAAAATTCGTAGGCCAACCATAGATATCAGGTGTGCGTCGGCGTGGGCTCAAAACTCGGACCATGTGCATGGTCGGCGAGAATCCTAACCACTGTGCCACCGACGTACGACATTCACAGCTGGACCGCATAAAAAGCAAATTATCAAAGAGAGGTAACGAGGTAACAGCTGGCACAAAACAAGCATGAAAGATCATTTCTGTACATTCATACACCGTAAATATCGGTGCTGTAATGTTTAGAGACCAGATGAGAATTGAAGATCATTCAGTTTTTTAAGCATCGAATGTTGAAAATACGATGATATGTAGGATCCATCAGGTGTGCATTTTTCTTTAAAAAATTCTAGATTTCTACTTCACCATGTAACATCCGAAAACTCTACAACATTATGAATATTTAATCCGACGGGCAGTTGTCGGTAGTCGCATGTGACTCTGAGACAGTGCTTAAATCATGGTAACTGTTTTTGAAAATAGACCCAAAATCTGGGCATCAATTTAACACAGACTCTTTAATTATCTCTTTATCTTCAGGCAGGTCGGGATTTTGTTGATCAGCTGCACGGAAGTGTGTGCACAGTTTGAGAAATGAAACGATAATCTCATGTCATCCTGCAAACACTTTTATGTTTCAAGTATTCATCGCTGACTATTCTTGTCCACAAAGGTGATAAAGTAGTCTCATTCCGATTTCGTAGATTCTATGAAAATCATAAATTGAAGTCAACTGATAGAATACTTGCATAAAACTCCTCATACCTTTCTAAACGTCATCTCATCCAGTAACTGGATTTCCTCGTGATAATTCGATGTATGTCCACTGTAACATGCGCTGCTCTGATCACATTCTGAATTTGTTTCCACAAACTGTATGTGAACCAATTAAAACCGGAATTACATCCAGGAATTAGTATACATTTCCACGTCACCCACACTTATATTTTGAGATGATTATTTTACATTTCCAGAATTCTGATAAAATATAAGTCTCCTAAACGGATCAATTTTCATTTTGTGTTGAACAGTAACTTACACCATGAGCATTTTTGAAGTATCTTCAGGATGATCACTCTTCTAAAACCCGGTTAATTATGATGAAATTTTCCGCTTTTTATAAACATCACATTCACTGATGCGGAAGATAAACGAGAGAGATTCTGTTTTATTCGGTCACTTTCACTACTCTAGCTACAAACGTTTTTGATTGGCTACATAACAAATTTGTACGTAATTCGTTCCCACTATAACTTTCTAACTTTACAAGCTTTAGACGTATATATCCGTATATCTTCGTCCTAACAACATTCTTCCTTACAGACTATTATTCCCTCAGTAACCGCTTCGCAGTCGTACTCATCATTTAATGTATTAGATTGCATAACAGCAGTTAGGCTGGTTTCCCAGTTTCGTTTCTATTACCAAGTGATGATGATATCTGATTTCTTGATTCGTTATTTCAGTGACTTATTAGAACCACTGTTTATCCCTACAGCTGTGATGAGAAAACACGAAAAAAGCACATCGTTGGACTTCCGATTACTGGATCATAGGTTCTAATACAGCTTCGCCACTCTTATTAATCAATAAGTGTTACCAGCTAGATCGAGGTGATCCAGACACCGGACGGTTCAGACTACCTGATTTTCGCCAACGACTTAACTATTTTCAAATAAGGTAACAGTTGGATTATTTGAACTGGTTCGCCTTTCTCAGATGAGTGACACAAGGCTCATTGTTAATGACCTCCACGCCAATCAAGTAAATGGCTATACACAGTCCAGATCCCCTTAATGTGATTACTAATTTATGTGAGTAGTATAAATATATTCTTGATTACTGTTTATGTTTTCAAGCAGATCACATATCTTGATCTCGATGATCTGAATTTCAATTGGAAACCATACTGAAGTAATCACTTAAACTGTGCAAAATTCCAACAGACGACTGTGAATTTCTTCCACTTACTGAGGTTTGAGGAGCATGTTGGCGAGATTAATCCTTAATAAAATACGTGTACCTCATTGCCAACCTCATCGAAACAGGGGTGATTTGCGGCAACACTCTTTCGTTTTGCTTTATGAACTGAACTTTGGTGAAAAGAAGCTAGGTATATCTTGGCTAAACAGCAGAGCGATACCAACATTATAACATATATAATTTTATATATTTAACAATATATATATATATATATATATAACGAAATGCCCTTACACAGTGGACGAGGAAATCAGCGCCTTGCATAATTTTACTCGATGAAATTATGTTCTATAGCGTGAGCTTCTTCCAGAATGTCATGGGATGATAAGTTCACTTGCTCAAGAAGAGCCTACAATATAGTTGTTGTGGAAAAGCGAAATTAGACAAGCCAACAGTCTAATTCTTATGCCTCTTGTTCTAACAAATAATTCCAGATGAACAGAGAAATGTGTCAATGTGACACATAAGGTGAAAAAAGGTCGTTTAACGGGTTTCCAGTTACATATTCTGTCTACAGCAGACTCTTGTGCTACAGACAAATAAGACTCTGAACTGTGCATAGAGAAACTGCTTATCCAATGGTTTCTAATACTGTGACCAGAACACTATCCAAGAACACTCTTCATTGATCTAGTGTTTTCCATATCGACTTCTCATCTGATCGTGCAGTCTATTTACTTTACGGGAATATTCATAGTTGTGCGACTGAGTTCATGGGTAATTGAGTCGTGTCCCAGTGGTTTAATCGTTCACGAGATCGCTTTGTACATGGAAGGTCCTGCCTTTGAACCACAGTATGTGCGTGCTGATGAGGAGTTCCAGGTGTCAAACACTCCCAGATTTTCCAATGATATGCCAACCGATGTCAGTTCATTATGAAATACTGAATCTAATCAAATCCCTGCGAATAACCAATTGCATTCAGATTTGTTGAGATATAACTTTTCATCTTCTTCGTGGCTCAATTCATACAAACAGAAGCACATTTCAATGTGTTCACTAACAGCCAAATATTCTGACACCCTTGAAACTCTTTCTTAAATAGTTACAGATGATGTCTATATGGAGATATCGGTGTGTAAATTAATCGGTTTTGGAATACAGAATATCGTCACCATTCATTCCTACTTGTATCATTCGTACAATATTGAGTTTTATTCTCTCAGGAATTTCTTTAATCAACAGTGGCTCTACATAAGCTAACACAACCTGATATTCATGCAACCAGACAAGTGAATTGAACAGAATATTTTATGCATATACGTAGAAAGTGGTGTGCATTAAGTGTGACTGTCAAACAACGTTCCAGTTCAAAAAGAATTCAGACAAATTAATGAGAAGACATAATTTATTTGACACCAGCCATAACCTACGTAACATATTTCGGATATTCTGATCGCACACATGAACTTGTCATACACATTTGTATATAAGGCAACAAAGCATAAAAGATCACAAAGGATTTCTGTTGTCCAGTAGACCCTCACAGCAATAAAATGATAGTGTCACGTCTCACTGTGTTTACCAGGTTACATGCATGTGTGGGACTACCTATCTGTCTCTACAAGTCAGGTTCCTGTATGTCTGTAAGAATAGGTAAAATTGTCTGATTCGGATAACCCTGAAAGTAAATGTTCAATGTCATCTTTCGCAAAACACAACATTGAGCCGGTGATAGAGCTGATTTCAGTAGTAGTATGTGACAGAATCCTATGTCTGCGTGTATGTTTCTATCACAAGTTGAGAAGCCTTGTTAACCATTGATGATTAATGAACTGGTCTTCTTTTACTAAATTTTAACTTCAAGAAAGTACTCATTTACTGGAGTAATAATTGTTAGAAGTTCGAATTCATGGGCCATTGCCTTGGGTCCCGCTGGCTGAATGGTCAACCAGCTAACCTTGCAACCGGCAGATCTAGAGTCTGAACGACGGATGGTGCGGATGTTAAAGATTTTTATAATGGGACGTCACAGTACTCCCTTACGGTTCCCGATAATTTTCTAACTGATATCAATCCGTGATTGAACTCGGAAGAAGTCAAATCCTTGCAAGTGGACTCTTGTAAATTAATTAGGCATTATACTTTAAACTAACCACTGATTGATATTTTCATCGTGAATTAAATTTCAAATGCAATAGTTGAGTGTTGAGTAAAGACAGGGAGTATCTCCCCAGAAAAATTATACTTCCTTCCATTCCTTAGTTCATTCTTTGCGTTCGTTGTGAGAGAGAGAGTTTCAGCGAAAGTGGTGATGTTGCTAGCCTCACGCTAAACCTTCTCTCATTTTTTACTACGCTACCGCTAGGTGAGTTCTGGAATGGCGTCGACAGGGAATGCATTAACAGACTACGTGTGGTGTTGACGAGCGTTCGATGGCTGGACCACTGACACAAACATCGTGCACATAGGTGCATTAAGAATACCATATTCAGCGATATGACTCACTCTTCTCTACGAATTGCCTATCCAGCTGCACAGTCGTACGTGTATGATTCTTAGGAAACTATATTCCATGAGTAAGTTCAAATGAAGTATTATATATGTTATATAATACCAAGCATCATGTTCTCATTAATTATTAGTTTGAGAATGTCTATTTTATCTCGTCCCTAATCTTTGATTCCAAAGACAATGTGATCACTGTGTTCCAGGTTTCACCAGAATTTATTTCAACATCACTGCTCACAATTTTATCTCTAACACAACCTGTGTAATCGCAATTGATAGTGTATTTATTCCTCAGACTGTCTCCCATTAAAAGGTTTTGATGAAATTAAACCGATGCACAACAGTCTGATGAAACAAAATTTTCATCACAACAACAATTTCAATAGTCTCATTGTTCTTTGATACTCCATGTGTAGTTAGAATTACTGATGTGTCAGTCATACACCAATATTATCGACACTTTCAGTGGGTGTGTTATTGTTTAGTGTAGGATGTGTTCGTTGGTATAATGGTATAAAGGTTACTGAAATGGATGTATTAAGCACACGTTTCAAGACACACACGCACATTTCACACATTCTCTGAAGTGATCTGTTCAAAACGCTATTCACTATGTGAGTTCATCACTTTATTTGGTTCATCGGTGAAAATATATCAGATCGTTTCATTTTACAAAATCTCGTAATTCATATTGGTGAGTCAACACGAAATTCTATTGTGAAATGAGAAATTCAACTGATTTGAGATTGACATATCTGCATAGTTGGTCACATTGAACACGGATACTTAAGTGCTTCTTCTTAATAACTAGAGTCTAGTCTTTATTTAATCCAAAGGGGAAGGATATGTTGTATAGGAATCGTATTGCCTTATGTCCTCCCATATATTGTCACTTATTTGCGAACACCCTTTAACGAACTGTCTCAACTGATTTCAAGTCCGGTGGGGAAATTACAAAAGAGAGAGAACTGCTGAAAACCACCAGAGACTACTTGAAGTGTGTTTCATCCTTGTTTTGAAACTTGAGCTGAACTCACACATAACCCCAACACAATCCAAAGAATCCAGAACTTCGAGCTTACAAGGTGACTTAGTTTCCCATCAAGTCTCAGAATTGGACTCTTTTGAATCATCGATTGTATCATTTTCTTTGACAGTTATACGACAAAGACTCAACATGTGTGTATAACTGTGTTGTTCTACATTCTCTAACTTGAGTCATTTTCTACTTAGGCGTACTATGTATCTGATCGCTAAAAGATATGTGTGCACTGCAATATTTCACCCTTCATCATGGCTTTATGACAGATATATTGAAGTTGAGAGGCATCAAATGATCGTCCATTTTTGAACGAAGATTTTCGCGTTCAGTTTCTCGTGGTTAGTTGTTCATTTTCATGAGTTGCAGTGATGTTACAATTGTAGTGTCAGCAAACGAGGTAACGTCAACTGATGGATGGGACATGTATAATGCATGTTATAGTCTACTTGGTTAGCCTCTCTGTTTGATGTAACTGAAAATAATTCGCAGTTTTCAGATTAATCCACTGCCAACAGATGGTGAAATCATCCTGTTTCTCGAGCGCTTTCATTTATTATAGTTTACTTCATCGTTTTCTCTACTTGTTTCTAAGCTTAATAATAATTGCTGTTGCGCTTTCTGTGAAAGGCTATTCGTTGACATTTCAGTTCGTCCTTTCCCCATTGTGGACACTAAGGTGAAGATTCCTTTTGAATATGAAGTGATTTCACATGGGTAGAGTTGAAGTTCCTTAAATAGCTAGAAACGTGTATTCTGTTTGTATATGGAAAAGTAAAAAGAACTTGAGAACGGTAATCAGATTCTCCAATATAAGGTACCAGATCGTAGATGTAACGAACTGGCTGGAATCATGTGAGCGCCAGTCAGATTGAATCATCATGAATTATTGAAAATTATACCAGCGTGTTTGAGAAAATATCACAACAAGATTTCGTTCCTAACATTGCGTTGTGTGAGCCACAGCTTATTCAGCAGAATTATTTGCATTTTATTAACCATCAAAATATGCGGTCAAAAATTGCATCAACTGCAGTCAGTTCCTTTGAAAGTCACTTGTCGATAGACATTTGTACCATTAGAGAAATATATGCACTGTCATCACATATCTGTAATGACTACTGTCAAATTGTCATATTTGCAAATTGTCATCTTCAACGACTACTTCCTTCATAAAATAATAATGTCTATTTCTAGCCTCTGGAGGAAGCTCTGATGAATATCGCGTGTTCGGTTGCCAAAATGCCGAAAGTTAATTTTGTCCACACGATAAATTTTTCAGAATATGACTCTAGCTGCATAGTGGAGATCAGAAGACAGGTGAATGTCAGACTGAATGAACATGGACTGTGCACTCAACTTTCAACTCAACATGAAGTAGAACCAAAGTGTCTTGAAAATAGATCAGCTGTAGCAATGCATAAATGCTATTATTATTATTGTTCCCTTGGGTTCCTAATGGTACATTGGGCTTCAACTGCACGTCTACACTTCCTCCAGTTTTCCTTCTGCTGCACTTTTCGCCTGCATCCATGTTAGTCCATACTGTTTCAACTCCTCTTCACACTATCTTCTCCGTATCACCCTTGGACGTCACACTCGACTCTTCTCTTTTGGGTTCCACTCCAACAATGGCCTGACGAGCGATGTCACCAACCGGCCTCCTCAAGGAGTGTTCATTCCATCTCCACTCTCTCCTGTATATTTGTTGGGTGACTGGTTCTTGTTTTTTTCCATAGTTCCTTGTTGGTGGTTCTTTCCGGCCCGACCATCTGATCTTCAGTTTAGAGTCAGCGAATACAGTTGTTGATAAAGGTGTACAACTGGCTGTTGAAAATATTCTTTGTGACTCGCCAGCAAAGTTTCCGATCCATATGGAAGAACTGACTTGACCTTTGTATTCAAAATCCGACGGAATTTTGTTGTTGATGCTGAGTGACAAAGATTTCCAGATTGGTTTCAGGTTGATGAATGAATGTGTTTCTCGTCTTAACGATTCTCGTTTTGACATCCTCGACCGTTCCTCCTGTAGTTAAGACAATGCTCCCTAGATGAAAAGTGAATGAAATAACCTCTTTCAAATCACTCCCGTTGATGGTGATTGACGCTGGATGTTGTTGCTACTGTTGCAATTATTGGTTGGTTATTTTCATCACCTCCGTATTGTCTGTGTTCACTTGGAGTCTTGTCTTCGCCGGCTGCTTCTTCGACCAGTTTGTCGGTTTTCGCTTGGAAGCCTTCGATTTTGTGTGACATCAAACATAAATCATCCACGCGCGAAATCCAGGTCTTCTAGTTCTTCACGTCGGTTCAGGATATCCCTGTCTTCTCGTTTCCCACTCACTGTCTGACGTATAATCCTCAGTCCACCACAATTAGGAATATCATTGGTGATAATAAGCACCCTTGTCTGACTCCTGTGTTCACTCCAAACACTTCGCTGAGTTTTCCGTTGTGGATCACCTGACATGTGTCACAATTGTCGTACAGCTGTTGAATAAGGTTGATGAATATTTGGAGTATGCCGTAGTACTCGAGTAATTTCCAAATTACTTCGCGGTCAACGATGTCGAAGGCCTTCTCATAGTCTATGAAGTTGAGGCAGAGGTTTGATTGCCATTCCATGCTTTGTTCTGTGATGATGATGCGTAGAGTTGGAATTTGATCATTACATGATTTGCCTTTTCTGAATACAGCTTGTTCTGATCGGAGTTCTGTATCCAGTGCTTCCTTTACAGTCTCCAGAATGATGCGACTCAGGATTTTGCTTGGCGTCGACAGGAGCATGATTCCTCACCATTTCAGGCAGAGTCTTAAGTTGCCCTTCTTTGGTAATTTCACGAGGTAACCTTTCCTCCAGTCAGTAGGCACCTTTCCCTCCTTCCAGAGCTTTTGCAATAATGGAGTCAGTCTAAATGCTATAGCTTGTGGGGATAAGATTGACCTCGAGAATTTCGAGATTCTCGTTACTAACAAAAGACATTTGCTTCACAATAATCCGTAGACATTTTCTAAGTCTCCGTACTGGGAGGCGACTTTCAACAGAGACAAAGTATTTCACTTCAATATAACCAGGTGACGAAGAATGAAAGTACCACTTTGAAACCAACAACTTGACTTTTTCACACGAGATTTACAGTCCCTGCAAGTAATAGTTCTGATGCATTACTTAGATGATGACCTATTGTGACAGGTCCAGGGCTCACATTTCCATGATTAGGAATATGTTCATATTAGAAACAGATTTCTTAGATGGATTCAGTATACGCTTACATTGTTAATTGTTTGTTTGCAGGAATTTGATTGCTCACGTGTTTGTTCATTAGTTGACATCAATTAGGGAACAATAGGAAAACGTACGAGTACCATTCAGCTGTGTTGTCAGTACTCACTTTCTGTGGCTCGGACACAGTAGCACAATTATTCCGAAGGATTGTCCATTATTCTTTTAAATAACATATAGATTTCTATATATTTACATGTGTGTATATATATGTATAGTTGTTTCATGTTTTCCTCCATATTTTGTGTTAATTACTTAACTACAGATATCTCAGAAGAATTTTGCACTGGTAGTGAGTGAATATCCAATTTGTGCAGTTTTTAATGCAACATTCAATATGAGCTTTAAACAGATTATTAACTTCATAAGCTTGGTAGGAATGAATCATTCGCATAAATGTTAAATATCTTTCAGTTATTAATTGCAGAGATTCTTATTGTTTGCAACACACTTCTCGTTTTTTGTTTCTATGACAAGTAAGATTAGAATTTTCTTCAATTTAAACTGCTTTTATTATTTTAACAAAGAGCCTGCTTTCGAGCAATAGCCGCTGCATATTGGTGAGTTGCATCTTGTAAACCTGCATTATTATGATTGCGTTATTATTATTTCCTTGTGCTGAAATGCGAAAAATAGGACTCCGACGGCTTCTTCTTCTTCTCTGCAGTCATCTTCATGTGATTCCATGTTTAACCAGATATTTTCATCTCCTTCTTCTTATACGATTTCCTCCACATCACGCTCAAACCCACGCTTTAATCATCGACTCTCGTTCTTGTTCCACTCAGTGTTGTGCCTGGTACGTGATGTCACTCAACGGCTTATCCAGCGTGTCTACAATCCACATCCACTTACTTCAACAAATTTTTTGAGTGATGGGTTGTCAGTTGGCAAAATTCTGCAGCCAGTTAGGGATGCTTTTTGCAACTCACCAAGTGTCTACAACATAGAGAAGCGCTGATTTGAAATCAACACTGAAAATGGGAATCTCGTTCTCTAATGCTGACTGCAGTAGATTTCCACACTGAAAGTGTCTCTCTTGACTTCTTCATTTTGTTGGCTTTGACATTTTCATCTGTCCTGCCACCTGCAGTTGCAATGATGATGCCTTTATAAATGAAGGAATTGATTTCCTCCCCTCCTGGCTTATTTACCTCTCCTCTTCGAAGTGATACATACATGTTGGTGTCTATGAGTGTTTGAGAATTCTTCAACCGCGTGAAATATTTATTTTCATAAATATATATATCAAACGACAAGCAATACTCGATCATAAAATGCCCAACATTCGACAAGCTCACGGAAAATTAGTTTCTGTTAGACCATAATATGCATACGCGAATCAGTCTATAACTCGTACAGTTAGATTCATTATAGAAGTGCTACACAATTCCCCCACCAGAACACTGAAATATTAAATAATACATTCAAGTGTTAGACATAATTTCATGAGTGTGCATTGTGAATAGTAGCGTAACTGCATGGAAAACCGTTAGTGTAATAAGCTGAATAATACGTAACTCAACCCAGAGTTTTGAAAAGAAATTGACGGACAGTCAGTGGTATATATATCAAGTGCACTAACGACAATATGACTGCCAACTATAACAGAAAATAATTGAAATGATGGAAAATCAGCCGCGGATCTGTAAACTCTAGATGAAAACGATATAGGAATAGTGAATATTACACGACTTACTGCAATGATGCACAACAAATCGCCAGTTTTTAGACAACAAGACAGTAAACTATGATACACTCGATAATGTGAATAAGCAGTCGTGTGTTAATTTTGGAGAGTAATAGTGAAAAGGAAGATTCACAATGAATATATTCATAGTGAATTTCCTTAAAAACAAAATGAGTGTTCCAAAGATTTGTTATTGGAATTGTAAATTTCAGATAATAATTTACGTGATGTAGAAAGCATGAATTAAGTTGATTGAATAGACAATCAAATCAGATTAAATAAGCAAGTTGAGTGACGTTATCTAATTGACAAGGTTGATAAGAGCCCGACTTAAATTAAAATTCAACAAAAGTCAAGTGAAACATTGTGGTGATAAGAGGTAGAGAATAAACAAGGGGTGGGTGAAGAAAATAGTGTGCAGTTAAGCAACACAGAAACAAGAAATAGACGAAAGTAAAATTACGAATTAAATGTTAAGATAAGTCAGGTCCATTGTGAATTCAGTGACTGAACAAGCTACCTTTGTGTGCACAGTTCATGATTTAACGAGCCCATTGCAACTGCTTATGTGGTTTGAAGAAGTAGGGCTTGAACTCTTTTAGAAAGATTCCTTCGTAGTCTGTAGACAACTATGAAGTTCCATAGTGGGTAAGCCTGGTGTTCATGCTCAACCAAGCATTGCAAAATAGATCTGCTTTTGGATAGCAAGCGCTGGGTACACTCGACATATCCAGCTCCACACGAAAAGGTGAATTTGTAGATGCACATGGATAAGGCAGTCAATGATGGTAGCTGATCCCCCCACGTTCATATGAATAACCACTTTCTTGGAGAAAGTAAGTGGAAGTTCAGTCGCGAAGAGGGTTTTCACCGATAATCAGCTGAACAGGCAGTTTCTCGGTATTTACACTGATGATGAGGCTCCCATGAGTTATAGTTTCAAGTAGGGAAGTCTTGTAGCAGCATAATGTTTGGGAGGTTTCAGTGGTTTAGATTTGATGAAACGTTCTGGGTAGCCATTTCCGAGGAGACGTTTCTTCATAGTGCTAAGCTGCTCTTCCTAAGCGACTTCTGCGTATTCTGTAACTCAATGAAAGGATTAAATTTCGCTTTGTATATAGGGTCACTCAAATGTGAAATTTAGTAAGTTTTCCGTTCGACGTCAGCTTTCTCCAGATAAATCTTTCTACCGTTCCATCTTGATGACGTCTTGTTAATTGGGCGTCCAGAGAAGAGATATTTTTGCATCATATTCCTTCTTTAGTGTTCAATGAATTGCTCGATAGCAGCTATTGAAGTAGTCCAAGATGTTCTCCAGGTTTTCGTAATTGTAATCGAGAATTTTTAAATTCACACTGTGTTAAACAGTGATGATTCGAACGTCACGTTTATGCCAATGAACTCTTCTACGAGAATGCGTTGTCTTTACTGGTTGTTCTGTTTACGTTGCAATTTTCGGGATTAGAGGTGTATGTACGTCGTTCAGTTGATCTAAACCATTCTCTTGCATTTGGTTGGTAAACACTGGTCTGATTCTATCAACGCTGATTGCTTCTCCTATATTCGATCTTTCTACCGTGATAAAGTTGTCATTCATCTGTTTTACACTAAATAGATATTGGTAGGTGGGATGAAGTGGTTATCGTTCAACATCCCTCCTAACGAAAACGTGAGTGCAGTTTGTCAGTTGCAGCAGGATGTATGACCGTTTTCGCTGTTGGCGTGGAATGGATATTTCCAACACATTCATGTGTTTATTTAATAGATAAATGTAATGAGTTATATCGCTTGGATCTTGGTTAGCTGAGGTGAAAATCCATCCTGGTAACATTAATGTTGTCAAGGAGACTAACTCGTAGAATTTTAATCCCATGTTTTTCTTCAAAGTTCCTCGCATTCCAAGTAGTACCGGTGGGAGTCTGGTGTACCTGCCGCTTTCGCTCAGAGAGGTAGCACGCGCAGTTTCAAGTTCCCGGTGAAATCTTGGAGCCATCACATTTAAAATAAGATGATACGAGGTCGTTTATATTCATTTCATTCCCAGTAATTTGGTGAGTTTTTGAAAAAGACGTCTTTCGAACTGTGCACCCCTGTCTGTAGTGATAATTGGCGGAAAACGAAAGTTCGCCATCCATTTTACAACCAGAGCTCTAGCAAGCTTTTCGGCGGATAAGTCTTCTAGTGGAACTGCTACTGGTCAACTATTGAATCTATCGATGCAGGTGAAAATATAGCTGACGTCATTGGAGAGAGACAGTGAACAAATGATATCTTTATACATGTAGTCAGATATTGAGTCGGAGTAAGGAAAACAAGCAGAACGGCGCATTGGTGTGACAATGGATATTGACGGTTTGACAAGAAAAACAATTTTACGTCCTTTTCTCAGCATTGCTATCCACGTCTGGCCATACAAATATTTCTTTCAGCAGCTTTATAGAAGCACTGACTCCATAATGTGAGTGATTATGCAGTTTCTCAAAAACTGTGCGTTTCATAGCTGCTGGAACAATGGTCGAAATTCACTGGTAGATGTATCACAGATCACTTTGGTTTGGCTGAAGATAAATTCTGTGAGTTCTAAGGAAGTAATTTTGAAGATATAATCTTCTTTAATTCAGCATCATTACTTTGTAGGTTTGCGAGATTTTCGCATTCGATATCCGGATATACAATGTTGCTAATGTGCATACGAGACAGAGCATCTGTAACTTCATTGTTTTTACCTTTTCTGTGTCAAATATCTGAAGTAAATTGGGATATAAATTGAAGATGTCGTAGTTCGTGAGGAGTAGTCATCTTGTTCGGCTTATGAGTCTTTCATAAGTAGCGCATATTTATTTTAACTCAATTTTCTTGTGAACTACCCTTGATAAACATCCTGTCATTCTGAATTTCAGGGTTTGTGGAATTGTGCTCTACGTTATTCTGAGAAGAAACGAATACTTACAGTCATTTTATCCGTCCAACATCGCTTTGATATGGATATCTGTATGTGAATGGTTAAGTTAATGTATGATTCATGCGACTGTTTTTATTTCTCACGATAGCTGCTTGTTTATTTATTAGTGTGTCGAATATTGTTGAAGATCAAGTAGAGTGAAACAGTGAGTATGGAGTGGTCAGGCGATTTTCCACAACTAATTACACCAAAATACCTTTTCCATGTTTGTTATAATGTCGACATGCATGAATATTACTGTATTGAAAGTTTTCTGATGAGAGAATTGTTTAGGTAGATCCAAGTTAGGAAATGTGTCCGATACTCTGGCCCTTAATTGAAGCACGTAATTTATTCGAAACGTGTAGTTTATTTTCTCATCTCATTTCGGACATTCGTAACACACACATACACGTACACACAGGATGTTGTCAGACACCACTACTGAAATCAACTTTATGACCGACTCAGTGTTGTACATTGCGAAAGATGACATTGGACATTTACTTTCAGGGTTGTCTCAATCAGCGAATTTTACCTATTCTTACAGACATTTCAGAAACTGACTGGTAATGAATCATGGGTCATCCCACACATGGTTGCAAACTGGTAGACACAGAGAGATGTGACACTACCAGTCGAATGCTGTGAGGGTTACCTGGACAACAGAAATCCTTTGTGATCTTTTATGCTTTGTTGCCTTATGTACAAATGTGTATGGCGAGGTCATGCGTGAGATCAGAATATCCGAAATATGTTACGTAGGTTATGGCTGGTGTCAAATAAATTACGTCTTCTCATTGATTTGTCTGAATTCATTTGAAACTGGAACGTTGTTTGACAGTCACACTTAATGCACACCACCTTCTACGTCTATGCATAAAATATTCTGTTCAATTCACCTGTCTGCTTGAATAAATATCAGGTTGTGTAAGCTAATGAAGGACCACTGTTTACTAACGAAATCTCCGAGAGAATCAAGTTCAATATTGTACGGAAGATATAAGTAGGAATGATTGTTGGCAATATTCTGTATTCTTAAACCAATTTATTAACTAAGAAATATCTCTGAATAGACATTACCTTTACTATTAAAGTTAGAGTTGGTAAGGATGTCAGCATATTTGATTATTAATGAACACATTGAAATGTCCTTCTGTTTGTATGAATTGAGCTGCAAAAAATAAGCCTAGTTATCCTCAACAAATGTGAATGCAAGTGTTGGTTTGCAGGGATTTGACTGGAATCAGTATTTCATCATGAATTGACATCAGTTAGCGAATCACTGAAGAAGTCGGATGTGTTGCACAGCTGGAACTCCTCTTCAGCATGCACCCATTGTGGTTCGAAGGCAGGAGCTTTCCGTTACAAAGCGATCTCGTAGACCGTTATGCCAGGGCCACCCGACACAATTACCTATGAATTCAGTCACAAAACTTTTAATATTCCTGATAAGTAAATAGACTGCAGGAGCAGATGCGAAGTCGATATGCAAACGTCTAGATCAAAGAAGCGTATTCTTAAAAAGTGGTCCGCAAATATTCAAAACCATCGAGTTTCATAACATGTTGGCTGTGTATTGAACCGACGTTTTTCCACCTTTAACATCGGCGGTGAGTGAGATGACTATTCGAGGTGGTTAATCTGGTTGAAACACAATTAACTGTACTACAACTAAAAATCCAGATCCTCTTTTAAGCAGTATTGCTGTTATTCTTCGATCGTGAGGCTTCGTCTATCCAGACTTCCATTAATAACTGAAAACAGAATAGTTACTGTTTGTGATAATTGGCGACATACTTGATTTGTTTTTTATGCCGAACATGATGACATGAATATCGTTTTCATTCATTGGTGATGTCGAAAATCTCATGCTTTTTAATTATTCAGCTTTTATATCTGATATTGGATGCTGCCTTTCTATTCTGGGATTGTGCAAGTCTAAATATGCTCATTGCTATTGGCGTGGCATTGTTGATTTCTCTCGGCGTGGTATTTTTTTTCTTCAGAATGCGGGATTTTTCGGGGAGAGGAATCCTCATTTCCACTTCCATAGCAGCAATACTGACATTAATTGGAGTAACTTTTATATTTTTTTCCAAAGGGAATGTGAGTGTGTTTACCTGTTCAACATTAACATATTTATAATTACATATTATATCAACAAGTAGTTATTTGCAGTTTTCGGATTCGTCATCATGACACAACATGGGATTACTGGATGCAGGTTCAGCTCCACACAGAAATACAGACTAAAAAGATATCTATGTTCAGTAGAGAATTTTCACCTCATGATATCCCTTCAACTCTGTACAGTTATATAATGGTCCATCAGTTTAGGGGAATGCTTACTGAAGTCCACTGTGTGTTATTTCAGTTTGCGACAAAATGTATGAAAACATGTCGGATAAATAGTGGGTCACGTAGTCTGAAATGTACTATTTGACGAGTATCACTCAGAAATCATTACTCCTAAGTCAACCAGCGCCTATAATCAGGAATTTTATTCATATTACCAGGAGATTCAGAGTATTTATGAAGTGTTTTGAAGAAGTTGGGAGTTTGAAAGAGAGAGACAAGAAGGGAATAAAAACCGAATGAGGATGGTTTATTTACCACGTAGGAGTAAGTGTAAAGTACGGACAGCTGGAATCCACAGTAGTAAGAACTATTGGATAAGTAGTTTCTGTATACACAGTTCAGAGTTTTACTTGTCTCTACCATAAGATTCTGCTGTAGACGGAATATGTAACTGGAAACCCGTTGTACGACTTGATTTTTCTTTATGTATCATTGTGAGAAAATTTTCCTTTTCATCCAAAATGATTTTTAAGAACAAGATATATAAGAATTAACGTGTTGGCTTGTCTAATTTCGCCTTTTCACTGCTATATTGAAAGATGACTTTGTCAGCGTCTAGAAAATATCCTACTGGTACGGACTGTGTACTTAGCTTCACTGGAGTAGGATACTTGATATATACACATGGATATTGTTACCAGTGTAACAACAGAAGACAAGGGCCAGGCAACAGATCGTTTTATTATGAAAATCAACACGTATTTATACATATTTCAACTACATTATTATAGACAAGCGCAGTCATCTGATTGGTTGTTTATCAGAAGTTAGGTAGACAAACGCAGGCTTCTGATTGGTTGTTGACTCAGCCTTGTTGATATTTTCTCACGGCCCATATTAGTGACCTAGACCTTAACGTAGATTAGTGCCAACCAATCGGCTAGCAGCCTGCTCTCACCACACTCGTCCCCCCGTCAAATACGTGCGACTGAAGTCGGCTTGATCTACTTGGTGCAGGCGTCATCGTTGGCTTGTCTCGCTGTATCCATTTTTGGAGCTCGCTGACGTTCACGCGCCTCTCATTGTTCGCCATTGCGACTGTGTCTGCGTAACCCCATCTCGAAGTGACCATATATGGTCCTTCCCACTTTGGAAACTGTTTGCCTGACCCTGTCGAACATTCGTCCATACTTCGGCCCACACCTTCATATGCTGCTTTCGCCCGACCTCCCAGCAGCGTCTCAAGTAGCAGCTCCATCGCTGACAGATTTTGAACGCCACTCAACTGCGCAGAAGCCTTGAAGTCCTGCCCGAAGATCCATATGTCTCCATCAAAAACTGCAGGTATAGGCTTTTCATTTGTCGGTAGGCAGCGACACCAAATGTAACAACAGAAGACAAGGGCCAGGCAACAGATCGTTTTATTATGAAAATCAACACGTATTTATACATATTTCAACTACATTATTATAGACAAGCGCAGTCATCTGATTGGTTGTTTATCAGAAGTTAGGTAGAAAAACGCAGGCTTCTGATTGGTTGTTGACTCAGCCTTGTTGATATTTTCTCACGGCCCATATTGGTGACCTAGACCTTAACGTAGATTAGTGCCAACCAATCGGCTAGCAGCCTGCTCTCACCACACCAGTAGAACATTATCTTTGACACTTCGATGAACCACATAATTTGTTAATTTTCCCTGACATGTATTTTTTTATGTTTTATTAACAACTGATGGTAACGGATGAAGACTAACGGCATTTGATTTACCTTTCTCCGAACCATTTATTGCTGTTCAAGGTCTATTCGGTTCACACCACATGGTTATTCTTCATACTTTAAAAAATAGAAAAAGTTTAAACAGGGTAGAGTACTTATCGATATAGCGAGTAACGCATATATTTCATTGGTTCCGTGGTAATTGTCTGTAATAGCTCTATCTGAAACTGATTCGACTGCATGGATAAGTGTCAATAATATTTTTAAATCTTCATCCTTTGTGTTGCGAGAGAGAAAGATAGGTCTTTCATCTGGATTTTCGGACTTTCAGTAGCAGTGGTGTTTTCATTCAGCAGAGTAGGAATGTAAGTCGCATGCTCAGCTTTTCATCCTCACGACGCTTACTACCAAAAAGCGATCTTAATGAGTACTTCGTTCAGGGGCGAACCACAGACCACATGCGTGGTTGGAGAGTTTGAATACGTAGAGGCTGGAAATAGTTTCCAACATGTAGACGAATGAGGGTCATGCTAACAGTATTCTGTATCTTTTTGCATATCATCAACCAACAAGCATATAGCAAAGGATTTTCTGAAGTAGTAAAATATTTGCCTGCAGAACATACTCTGGAATCCTTAATTGAACATCTCTGAAATGACTTGTGAATTACTCGAAGATTATCGGAATGTGTTGATTGGCTTTATTTGTTCATGTGTTATTCCCACTTTGGACATTTGCATGAAGCAAAAATGCATGCGCTCATTTCAATTATGTATGTCCAAATCAATCTAATTCTTACCAGTTTGAAAACATTTTGAGCATTGGGTATATGATATTCATTTCAATAAATGTTTTTCTTATGTTTCCCAACGAATGAAAAACAAAATGAAATTGTTTTGACTGACGTTTCGCGATTGAATGCTGCTATTATATTGTCAGGGTATTATCGAACCAGAATTTACAAAATATCATCTTATATATTACAACCTAATCGTCTTTCCTTAGCATTGGGTCATTTTTGCGTTGTCAAGTGAGCTAATTGGTAAAGATGACAAAACCAAGTGTATATTGCTGCATTTGATAAGTGTATAAGATTATAAAAGCAGCGTGTGTTTACGTGAAATGAAATCGCTTATCGCATCCGTGTTGATTTTGTCATTTCAAGGAGTAAGTAGATGCTATGATCAGCTCAAATTCTGTTTTTGTCCATCATTCCTATTCAGACAAGTTAGATTCAATTTGATATGATGTGCTTCTGATACTAGACATTCTTTGTGATATCTGAAATGTTTCTGGATTATTTCAATAGTGTCAAAATCAGTTTTGGTGGCCTGATTCTATAGCACGTATCCCATGGCTGGCTGATGATATTTCAAGCATCCCTAGTTCAACCGGATTTCTCGGAGATCAAACAGATGCTCCATTGTGTTCATTTCTTCTGATTTTGATTTCTCGAGTTGTTTGTTCAACTTAAATCACATCACATTCCGAGTATTTTATTTTATAGACACAATTTGATAGAAAAAACGTTAGGATTTGATATGGACAAGGTTGTTTTGCAGTGTGTCTGGGGTTTTGAAGGAAGCTCTGATGTCGAGTTTATTGGTACTCTTCTGAAATCTTCTGATGTCGTCTGACGTCTCTGCTCCATATGAAATCACAACTGCTGAGGCCCATGTCATGATAATACGTTTTTGACCATACCTAATGTCAGTGTTGATTTTGTTGATGAAGGTCTTTGGGTAGTTATTTCGCTTGACAGTCTCAGTAATGTCTAATATTTCTGTTTTTTCCTTCTCATCCGTTGGCATCAAAGAAGACTTCAAACAACTGATACCTTTGCGCGGATTGTGTGTGATGATCTGAAGTCTAAATATTTATTGGAGTAGGTTATCTTCCTGAATATAGATATACCAAATGTCTGTTTTCCCTCCTCTTAACTGGACAGTCTAGAAATTGTATTTCACTAATGTCCAATTCTGCTTCCCAAGTAAACTGTATTCTAGGAGATTGATTGTTCAGTTTCTCCAGGAGTGAACTGTGAAGATCTCGTTTCAGCACTACAAGAGTATCACAACCATATTTTAGGACTGAGTATGCTTGAAATGATGACATCTTCGAATATATTTATGAAAAGGTCAGGGATTATCGGGAAACTGGTGAACTCATAGCAAAACCATGAGTCTGTTCACATAAATTCCCCTTGAATCTAAAATAATTACTTTCTAGACAGCATTTCAAGTTCTTATTATTTCACTGGTGTCCAGGAGACATCTTCGTGAAAGCGTTGTATCTGTTTCCACTAGACTGGAAATAATATCAAGACTTTCGGTAATAGGTATGCTAGTGTATAATGAGTTAATATCCTAGCTTATAATAACGTCGTCTTTACCAATTTCTCGGTGTTCTATTTGAGATTTGAAATCATATGAATAATTCACAATATTCTTAGTGTCCTTTTACAATGGTTGTGTTATCGAAAAAAAATATTAGGACGGGTTGTATGTCGATGAGTTGGTGAAATGTACTACTGGTCTTAATGGAACTGTGTGTTTATGTTTCTTTGGTTGACTGAAGAATCTTTATTTTTAAAACCAGAGAGAATTTCCAATTTCGCGTTTCATTTCTTGAAGTTGTCTGTTTATATGTAGTTTCATTTTGTTGGATTCGACAGATTTCTTCTTTTCTTCAATGGGTAAGTATGGTGCTTCAGATAGGTGTTCAGTCGCCTTCTTTCCCATATTCGTCTTTTTCACTATCACAGTGACGTTTCCCTTGTCGGCTTTAGTTATAACGTTGCATTTGTCTTTCTTCAAACTACTTAGTAATTCATATTTCTGTTCAATGAGATGAGATGGTATCTTTCGTTGTGTCAATAATATATGCGATATCTTTTTACGTACAAATTGAGATTCTCATTCGGTGAGCTGTTGTAGAGCAGGTTCGATCATAGATGCTATTTCCTTGACATATAATGGCTTTCTAGTGATATTGAAATTCTTAACTTCCTGTAGTAATGAGATTTCATTTTCGGTTAGTATCTCGCCTGACATGTTATGTATGCCTCTAATATTCTTCATATCATTACTGAGATTTTCTTTGCTTGTTTCTCTTTTTCTGTATTCAAGAATATTTGAATTTGGCTTCTTTTCGGGGCATTATGAGAATGAGATTCTCCTTCACTAAACAGTTTTTGAAAGGATTAATAGATATGCTTTGTAACAGGTATTGTTAAGCAATCGTCAATACTTTTGATTCTCGTTCAATTAGACTCAATTTTGATATTGCAGGTGTGTATTTCTCCTAGTAAAATTACTTAGGAGATATGAATATTTCAGTTATCATTGATAAATTCCAAAATATCACTGATTATTTTATCTGTTTTCCAGCAAGGTTTGCAGATTACGGGCGGTATTTTTCTTAGTGTCGCTGCAGTCGTAGTAAGTTGACATATCTTTCCGTATAATAGTGTGGTGTGTAGTTGTCTGTGTTATCTAGATATGATAAACTGCCATTGTGATTGGCAATATGCCATTTCCACGCTCCTGTTTTAAGGAAGAACCGTGGATTCGAGTATTCATTTAAAGTACATTAAAAGTAACCTTTCAGAATGAGCAAGAAAACACAAGATCAGCAGTGGAAATGCATTTGTAAATCCATATAATTTGCAATCACATCCATCAGTAGACTCAAGCCACTGCTTACTAGAATGCTGTGCAGTGTAGCAGTTTGCATACAGCAGCGAATAGGTGTTCACTGCATTCTATTTGAGAGGCGAAATCCACCAGTTGTAAGGTAATGAAAACTCGGACTGATAAATTTCTTATGTCCCAGCATGTCTATTGAAAAGGAGAATTTTAGACAGCAGAAATACAAAGATGGACACGTTGCTACGCATAGATGTCTGATACTGACTGACGTTCTATCAGTGGACATGTAGTTTTGAGTGTGTACTAATGAATGACCCTGAACAAGGACGAAACAAATCTCCAGTATTCGCTGGTGATTTTCAGTGGTGCTCTGATATGAGCCTGTTCGTTTTCGCAATTGACGTCATTACAATTCTTACACACTGCTTTTGAAAAATAGCCAAGGAGTATTAAACAATAAAGTACAAGTGAGATATACAAGAAGTTGAGTGCCACGTGAACAAAATGACCCGTAAACACACAAATTAGCAGAAGAATAGTAGAACTTCTTTGAACGACCAATGGCAGTTAAGATCACTAGGACAAACATATCACTCATGCAGAATTCGAAAAATTGATTTCATATTGAATCAGGCACTGAGGACTACGAAATTCTCTTAATTAAATCATCCAGCTCACTGAGAGAGAGAGGGAGAGCGATGACCTGAATCAAACGGAAGAAGACCCTACTGTTGATGCATTTATTATGTGGCAATGTTTTCCAATGAATGCAGCGAATTTCTACTTGTCGACGGCACACATGCTATTTTCATAGACCAAATCCGTTTACCTATACAACTAGTGCACCATTTTGACTGAAATAAAGTATTTCAGTGAAGTGGGTTTGACCTTCTGAAAGCAAATTTGTGAAAAGTCAAGTAATCACAATAAATTCTATTAGTAATATACTTAGGAACGGTTATTCAAATCATCAGTTTACTAGACATCACTAGTCAGTTTACATGTCAGGTTTCAAAGTTAATAAATACTGTTACTTATCCGGCAGATATTCAAATGATCTTCCTTACCAGATCAAAAGTCTCAAATTCTAGTAACTGTATACCCTCTAGTCGACTGACCTGTAAAATTCAGGTCGACTACATCTCATTGTAAATGTTTTAATTGATTTTTCTCTTAATTTTCACTAATTTGTCATATTTTTGAAAGCACTTGATTTCTGATTTCAGGTAATTTTCACTATCTCTTGTGGTTTGCAAAGACGCCTCAAACAGGCTGCCAATTGGTTCTTTCTGCTTCTCGAATTGCTCAAACTTTCCATGCCTATCATCGCACTGTATCTTGCCTTATGTGTGACTTTAGTTATCAAAGAGGTGAACACGGGCCGTAAACGTAATTGTGCATGTTAATGTGGAATTCAGTGTAATGAATACATGAATAGTGAACTTCTTTAAATGTCGTCAATCTGATAACTGATAAACAGCCTAGTTGTTTCTAAATTTTCCAGTTTGTTATCGTTGCTTCATTGAGTTTCAAGTGTCATTCTCATTTAGAAAGTGAACAAACAATTTCATTTTCCTCCTGGTTCTATTCATTTACAGAAATGTGATCGAGAGAGGCTCAACAAGAAGAGATTGCTATGAAGATAAGAGTTCCTATCTTGATAGAGTGATGAATCTAAATATTCGCTGATTAGTTTGGTGATTCCTGTGATACTGCAAAAGTGGCCCGTGTAATACGACGAATCCAAAATCATTGCCTTCTAATTCGAAAAAGTTAATAATTGTAAACTTTCTTCAGGTTACTCATCAGTTTCCGGTATGTAACGCTGCAGTAGAGTGTTGATTGTCAACAAAAACCTGCAGTGTAGTGTTATTAGAATTATCTCATTACTACTCAGTATTGAAAAGTATGAGTTGGTGAGAACATACGTTGTTTCTATGAAGGTTTCCATAGACAAAAGTCAGTTGTAGGTTCTTCTTGAGAAAATGAATGTGTCGTCAACTGACATTATGAGAGAAGCTCACCATAGAAAACATAATGTTATGAAGTGAAAGTATGCAGTTGGCTGATTTCCTTGTCCACTGTGTAAAAGCACTCCACTTTTGTGCATTACATATTAAGAATGTTGATATCGCTGTGCTGTTCAGCCCAGATATACCTCACTTTCTCCTTTCACCAGAGTTCATATCATAAAGCAAAACGAAAGGGTATTGCCCGGAAACCACATTCATTTTGAACGCATTGCCAATGAGGTACACGTATTTCATTCAGGGTTAAACTCATCAACATACTCCTCAAACCTCTGTTAGTGGAACAAATTCAAAGTCTCCGGCTGGAATTTTACACAGTTTGAGGTGACTATTCAGTATGACTTCCAATTGAAATTCAGATCATCGAGATCAAGATATGTGATCCGCTTGAAACCATAAACGGTAATCAGGAATATATTTATACCACTAAGATAAATCAGTAATCAGATCGAGGTGATATAAAATGTGGATGGCCATTTCAATCGTTTGGCCACTGAGGTCATTGGCGATGTGCCTTGTGTCACTCATCGAAGAGAGCGGAACTTGTTCAATTCCTCCAATTGTTTCCTTATTTGAAAACAGTGAATTTGATTTAAGATAAAACCAAGTCGCGAAAGTAGTTGGCCGAAAATCAGCCATATTGAACTGATTTAGCTCTTACAGACGAGTAACACAGGATTCACCACTGATGAGCTCAGAACCAGACGATTAAATTGGCCGTCCGGTGTCTGGATAACCTCGATCTAGCTGGTAACACTTATTGATTAATAAGAGTGACACTTCAGTCAGTCAGTCAGTCAGTAGTATACAGTTTCATATATTTACCCATGGTAGGCGGGGCTATATTAGAATACATGACCAAGTAATCGGGGGTTCAACAATGTACTCTTTGCTTATTTTCTCATCACAGCTGTAGGGATAAACAGTGGTTCTAATAAGTCACTGAAATAACGAATCAAGAAATCAGATATCATCATCACTTGGTAATAGAAACGAAACTGGGAAACCAGCCTAACTGCTGTTATGCAATCTAATACATTAAATGATGAGTACGACTGCGAAGCGGTTACTGAGGGAATAATAGTCTGTAAGGAAGAATGTTGTTAGGACGAAGATATACGGATATATACGTCTAAAGCTTGTAAAGTTAGAAAGTTATAGTGGGAACGAATTACGTACAAATTTGTTATGTAGCCAATCAAAAACGTTTGTAGCTAGAGTAGTGAAAGTGACCAAATAAAACAGAATCTCACATTCATCGATGCATCGATGAATGTGACGGTAATATGCAGTGGAAAATTTCATCATAATCAGCCTATTTTAGGAGAGTGATCATCGAGAATATACTTCTATGATGTTTATGATGTAAGTTACTGTTCAACACAAAATGAAAATGTATCCGTTTAGGAGACTAATATTTCACCATAATTCTGGAAATTCAAAATAGTCATCTCAGAATATTCCTGGATGTAATTCCAGTTTTAATTGGTTTGCATAGAGTTTGTGGAAACAAATTCAGAATGTGATCAGAGCAGCGTATGTCACAGTGGATGCAGATCAAACTGTCATGAGGAAATCCTGGTTATTGGATGAGACGATGATTGAGAAATTGAAAGGAGCTATATGGAAGTATTTTGTCAGTTGAGTTCATAGAAGCTCAGAAATCTGAATGAGACTGCTTTATCACCGTTGTTGACAAGTCAGCGGTGAATACGTAAAGTATAAAAATGTTTCCCGGATGACATGAGATTGTCGTTTCATTTCTCAAACTGTGCACACACTTCCTTGCAGCTGATCAACAAAATTCCAAATTGTCTGAGTATTCAAAGACAATTTATATGTGTGTAGTTAAATAATGCTCAGATTTTGGTTCTATTTTCATAAACAGTTTCCATGATTTAAGCCCTGTCTCAGAGTCAAACACAACTACCGACAACTACCCGTCTGATTAGATATTCATAATGCTGTAAATTCTTTGGATGTGACATGGAGAAGTAGAAATCTTGAATTTTTCACAGAAATTTGCACATCTGAGGGATCTTACATATCTTTTATGCATAAGATATTAAAATCATCCTATTTTCAATATTCGGTGCCTTAAACACTGAGTGATCTTCAATTCCCATCTGGTCTCTAAACAATAAAGCAGCAATATTTGCGGTGTATAAATGTGCAGAAATGATCTTTCATGCTTGAATGATGTCAGCTGTAATTTTATTATCTCTACTTACTAATCAACTAATTTTTACTGTTCAGCAGTAATTGATAATGACTATGATACATGACCGAAGGATGAATCAACCTAGGACTTGTCACATGTATCGTATCTCATATTGTCGTACTTAATGCAAAAAATAACATAAGAATCCTGGGAAGTCGAAATACGGTTGTGAGAGATATTGGCGATGACCACCTTGCATTTACAAGCCTCTATCTACATCAGCTAACAGTAAGGTATTTATGTGAATAAATTGGAGACGGAAATTATGATTATGAAATTCGAATGGTGAATGATCCACGTACGTTTACATCACCGCTGTTCAGAAAGTGATGTTACGATTACCTTGCCAGTGACAATGTTCTGATTTATTCTAAAAGGCTTATTACTGTTAATGAAATGGACTGGCAACCTGCATGTAAATTAGCAACAGGCATTATCTGTGTAAAGATCATTTTCGCTGCATAGTTGGTCATCTTATTATTACTGTTATTAATATTGGCACTATAATTCGATTCCACATTTGATACTTGAAAAAGGTATTTATTTAACAAAAAGGAATTATCACGGCGAAAAATTTAGCTCAGTTCCAACTTCTTTAGATTATCGAGTATAAATTTTAGTCGACACAAAGAAATAATTAACTTCATTTCAGTGGACTTCGAAACGCTTTTATTGAATAATAATGATAATAATAATAATTTGCTTTACTCCAAAATGTACTTGCGATACAAAATGAAATTCTCAGCATTTTGCTACAGTATTGCATCCAGTTAGTAAATTGACAATAAAATAAAATTTCACAAATATTAAGGGTAATCTCTGTTAGTTTTGACAACAACATATAAGCATGTCGGTAGCAAAGCCAAAATTGAACAGAGTGTTTGAAGGTGCTAGAAAAGTAGGTTCTAGCATATTTACTGGCGTAAGCAGACGAAAGAAACAAAGCTGCACATAACAGAAAAAAAGAGAGAGAAAAGGAAAAGAAAGAAAGAAAACATTGAACATGTACATGATGTCCAATTATTCTACTGACTGTTTAATAAGTTAAAGGTTTCACGCCTAATGCTTTCTTTATCGCACAGAACACTAGCTTAGTAGTTTTTGGTTGAGTTTTTGTACTTACTAGTGCTAGCATATAGTTTTCTATATAGGCTTCTGGTTTTGCCTGAAGAGATACAAGGAGAGAGTTGTGAAGAGGGTGTTGTGAGTTAGAGAAAATGGATTTAGCCTATTTTTCACATGAGTCTATGTGTCTGTCAACGAGAATATTAACAAGCTGGTTAAGTGGCACGTAGCTTACCTTGCTGACAACCTTTAACATCCTGCGTAATAAGGTTAGAGTCTTTCTTCAGTAGCCCTGTAAAAACTAAAGGGGAACAATAGAGAATAATAGGCAGAATACGGGAGTTAACAAATTGTAGGAGTAAGGGTTGGGTTATTCCGGAATGTCTTAACTTCTTGATGTAGAATATAAGACGGAATATTTTCTTAGAAGTAATCAAGATATGAGACGACCAGGAAAGATCAGCAGATAGAATGACGCCAAGGTATTCAATTTCTGACTTGGTTTCTGTTTCAGTGCCATCAATGTTGCACACCTCGTGAGTGCTAACCAATATGTTTAGGTCAGATTTGTGCCTAAAGGTGAAATTGACTGTTTGGCGTTTGAAGGGTTTTAGGTGAGACCGTTTTTCTTGGACCATTGGCTGACTTCTGATAAAAAGCCTTTTAGTTTAGTGCAGTCACTTTGACATTTGACAGGCAAAGATACAGTTAGGTCATCAGCATATTTGACAAAATTATTGTCATTGAAGATGGTGAGACATGTAGAACGAAAGAAAAGAGAAGTGTGGAAAGTACACTACAATTTCTCCAATCTAAAGTTACACTGGAAAACATTAGTGTTGTGATTTTGTTGTGTTAATCAGCCCTGCAATCACTTATAGAGTGTGGTGATTCGTTTCGCAGTCTAGACTATTAAGGCATCATTCTCTGACGGCTGCGTGTCCTTCTTCTATTCGCTTTTTCATTGAATCATTGATAGTTAGTTATTGTGAAACACATCTAATGAAATTATTCTGCTGTAAGATGAAATATCTACTCAGTGCTTCTCAATTCTCATTGGTTCACTAACTGCTTTTACTTTCTGATTGAGTTTACACTACGACTCACGTCTCTATTGCATTCAGAGTTGGTGATATTTACATTTTTAATTTTGACGATTATTTGTTCTCACTGCTGACTGGGTCACAATATCTCACTGGAACTCCAGGCAGTTTCATCCTGTAGCCAGTCATTAGTCAGCACCAGAATAACTTTCAAGAGTTGGTTTGTAGAGACTGATTTCTTTCAGTTCCTATCACGAGTTGATATCAGTCTGAGAAGCGTTGAAAATCATCGCTGAATTCTGAACTGGTCTTCTTTTACTGGTTTCGGACTCCGAGAAAGTACTCATCCACTGCAGTAAGAATTGTGATAATTTGGAATTCATGAGCCATCGCCTTGCGTCCCACTGGCTGAACGGTCAACTGGCTAACCTTGTGACCAGCAGATCTCGAGTCTGAACGTCTGATGGTGCCGACGGTTAAGAGTTTTATAGTAGAACGTCACAGTACTCCCTTATGGTTCCTGATGATTTTCTAACTGATATCAATCCGTGATCGAACTCCGATGAAGTCAAATCCTTGCAAGCGGACTCTTGTAAATAAATTAGGCATTATACCTTAAACTAACCACTGGTTGATATTTTTGTCGTGAATTAAAATTCAAATACAATAGTTGAGTGTTGAGTAAGAACAGGTAGTACATCAACAGACAGTTTATACTTCCTTCCCTTCCTTAGATCATTCTCTGCCTTTCTTGTGAGAGACAAAGTTTCAGTGGTAGTGCTAACGGCTAGGTTAGTTCTAGTAGTGCGTCACCTCAGAATGCAGCCACATACTACGTGTGCGATTGACGAGCATTCGAGGATAGATTCACTATTAATTTTCTGATCTGTTTGGACAAGGTGGTTTAAAACAGAACTCTAAGTGGTTGAAGTGAAAATTTTGTTAAGCCACATTGTTAGGTGCTCTGGAGCACGAAAAATTAGGTATCTGGATCCATGAGATTGCCCTCTTTCAAATCAATATAGAGGCGAATGGCTGCATTTCATGAAAATCTAACAAATATGTCTGACACGTGAAATAATCATATAGCAGAGGAATGAAATTAAATAGTGTTTCCTATGATACACTTATAGTTTAGATATTTTACAAGTTACTTCATAATCATTGCCCTCAAAAACTTCACAGATTCAATTGATAGTACACGAGAAATAAAGGCTTTCTATCTTTACTATTATTATTATTATCATACTAGTTATCTGTCATACACAGTTCAAGACACAAAAAGACTGAGTGCTTTAACGTGTTTATTCTGAATTTCACTAACTCAGCCCTCAGGAATACAGATGTAGCGCATTAGAAATAACATTAGCAGATCATGTTTTGTCCTGCATATATCTTCAGCAAGGACAGGCTGCAGACATGAAGTAACCACTGTGGAAATGATGTCTTACAGAAGGTGAGGGTAGTTCATTTTTGTCAAGCGTGAAATAGACTGCAGAAAAGCAGGCAATAAATATGTGATTGTAGCTGTCATCATTATTACAATCAGAAAAAGTATGTCAACACATTCTTCATACAGTTTGGAACTTTGCAGTTTTGAGTTTTACTGACCTATTTCCAGACAGACTTAAATGGTATGTGAATATTAAGTTCAAGTTAAGATCTCATGGCGATTCCGTGTATTTAACTGAAGAGAGATTCTCTGGGTGCACTCGTATGCTTGATATCCACCTTATCACTCTTCTCTGTCAACTCACAATATTCTATTAATAAGCTTCTTACCATTTACATATAAACTCAAAAAATAAGTGACATCTGTCAGAAGAAAGTGAGTGACAAGAGATTTTAGGTTCAAAGATATCACGTAACTATTAGAACGACATACAAACGATATACAATAGATGTAGTCGATCGGTTCATTCTGTTAGAAAACCGAAAAACGGCCGCTGATAGCTTTAGAGATATTTATCAACCACTGAGGTATTAGGTGATCGAAAGTTCTTTGCACCTCCTGGACTAGAGAGAATGGTAGACTGGCCAGTTTGTGTCCCGTTAATTCACAGTGTCTCGCTATCATTTACCTGAATGATGTGAAATTCCCACGAGTGTTTTCACTTGCTGAGTGCTTGTGATGAGAGTTTCAATCTAATAACTTCAGCCCTGGTCCAACCAGAAATCTGAATTGAGCTTTACTTGCTTTCCAAAATCTTATTCGAAATTTTGTGTGTGGAATGCTTGACATCCTTAATAACTGCACCTGAATTACTGTCACTGCTTTGCTGCAACTCCTAACCTACAATTATCGAAATCCATTATACCTCTACTCCATTCTGAGAAACACTCACCACTCTGAATAAATTTGTCATTATTCTACTAGTCTGTATGTGTTTGTGAATTTATTGAACAAATCCATGCGGTTTAATGAGTCCTACCATCAGTTATACTGTATTAGCATGTTCTGTCGTTTCTACATAAAAGACGTATATCAATTGGAATGTAAGAACAAAATCCAAGTGTCTAGTAATTAGGATTCAAAAATTCCACTTACAACACTGATTATTTTACGAAGTCTTTCGCCTAGATTGTTGCTTGATCTAGAAATAGATTTCGAAAGTTAACAACCATTTTACTCTACAAATACCATAGATGCCATTGGAAATGAATTATGCCAATTTGTTGGCTAAGACGTCATTTGCACAGATTGTTACCTCATCCAGAAATAAGCAGTTGCTGTGCGAAAATGTCATTGAGAAAGGAATTTTCCTTTAATGCTTGCTGAAACATTTTGCCCAAGCTCACATTCCCGTGATATGAAATACACATTTTGTCAAATACGATTGTTTACCAAATCTACTCGTTTCCGATTTACATACTGTAGTTTGCTTAAATTTAACTAGAATTCGGTTGGTATACAAGTTAAGATGTAGATATTGTTAGGCCTAGAATAGTGATTTGATGATGATTTTTAAGAGTTGTTTCCCTGGATGTAACTTCTGCACTGTATAACCATTAGTAAGCGACCTTATCAGGATTCGATAAAACAGAGTGTTTCAAAATATGCTTCATCTGGTGTTCGTTATTAGTGCAATTGGTGATAGTGATCACCGGAAGACTCCAATAACTCTCATAACAAGCATTCCATATTATGTGTATAGTTCTACAAACATAGACCGAACAGATGATCCGTCAAGCCGATAGCGACAGCAGAACTGAGATTTTGTGAAGTATTGATAAAGGAAGTAAAATGTCTCTTATTCCTCAATACATCTCCACTCCACTGATCAACTTAAAATAATGACTGGATTCTCACTCTAAGTCTTAAGATTCAGTTCCCATATAGCCAAACATACTTTTCACGATGAATGATGGACGACAGAAGACCAAATCTAGAGCTGACTGACTCTTCTTAACACTTCAATCATACATTTGTAAAGTTGTGGTCACGTGCTCAAAGCATCCAGCTCACGTTTATATTTCAGTACTCGCTCATGAAATTCCTGCTTATACATCGAGCATGGAAGCAAGTAAGGTAGGCGAATGGTAGGGATTGTTGCATATCAATGTAAAGATCACACTCAAAAAGGGCGGAAGTCAATTTTGACTTCTCGAGTCCCTGATCACAAATGGATTCTCCTATTTTCAAAAGAAGCCGTTTTCGGTACTATATCAGCTAAGTAGAATTTAAGAAGAAATAATTAAAATGTGCCTGCAACTAAGTGATTTCCCTTTTAGCAAGACAAAGTATCCCTCCGACAAAACTACGACACCTGTGGCAATCAAAGCGTTGGCCATTTTCAAAATAGAAAATATACTGGAATAAGTTTTGTGTTGTAGCTGAACGGAAGCAGACGTACATGAAGGATAAACTCGTTACTTTTACACAAAAAAAAGATTCCCTGAATTTAAAGTTACTGTAGTCTGCTCAAAACCTGGGCTAACGTAAGCCCCAATCAATATACAACGTATGATTTCTCTTATTATGTAGTTTTTGTTTTGACCTGTGACAACACTGTTTTCTCTAGCGGTTATTCCATATATGTTCAACCCTTTTATTCATAAGTTTCTGCTAAACATTAGGAAAAGCATTATACTCTATTGAAGTTTATCCCAATACGTAAGATGACTGTTCCCGAGCTGTATCCCTGAACGTTTTGTAACTGCCATTCAACAAAATGTCACTTGTTTCTCAAAGGAGACAGGAAATAGGCATCAAATAGGATTGGTATGCACCTCAGGTCAGGTGGAACTGTGTCACACAATCTACTGTCATTTGATGTTATATTTGAAGATCCTGAATGAAGACAGAAAGTATCATTAAATGAACTCCACTGAAAAGCCCGTTTACTACATAAACACTGTTCAGAATACAGTTGCTATTATCATTTTTATTATACACGCTGGGTGAAAATTAATTCAGTAGTCAATCGACTGTTTTATATCTTCTGATTTTCAGGGAGAATGACCGAGAACATGCGCATTGTATTATCATTTAAATTAAAAAAGATAAATGAAATTTTCGAAAAATTTATCAACATGAATTTATGCTTTTGCTTTTATTTTGTTGTTCAAGAGTTCTAAAGATGAATAGAAAGTATTGACTGTCTGAATATCTTCTCCTTATCTCAAATCAAGGAGGCAGATATTGCTGCAAACAAAGTGATAACTGCAACGAATATATTCAGAAATTCCAACGTCTTCAGGAAAGTGGATGACAGCGATTGTAATCGCGTTTTCAGTCCACATACTATGACGAACATCATCTATGAAGTGAAACACAAGAGTTAGGATGGCGAATCAGCAAGCAATACCTTTGACGTTGTATATCCAAGGTTTAGTTAAGTGAGGCAATTATGTTTAGTAGTGAGTAAATGAGCAGAAGTGATAGTGAATTGGGCAAAACACATCAAACTCTCGATAGTATTCTCTTGGCTTCGTTGAGTGACATTCCGTCACATGTAGTCTATCCAGTGGCACTCAAATGAAAAGCGACAGTTTGATTGTTGAGTGATAATATGCGGAAGGTAAATTTAGGAGCATAGAAAGGCCTATAAGGAGTTCTGTAGCCACCTGCTAGCGATACCATACTAAAATTTGATACCTTAGTGATGTAAAATAAACATCTGCCTTGATAAATTTTCCCCAACTTATTCAACTCCGACAATTTCAGTGTAGTAAATTAGTATAGCAAGTTATAGAAATCGCAAAAATTGGCATATAGGAGGTCTCATAATATTCGACTTAAAATTCACCTCATTACTGTAAACTATTTGGTAATGTTAGTCAGTTGAACATTATCATCTTGGATCGAGCCCCGACGGGTGCGTATTGCTGAAGGGCCCCAAACTAGGACGAAACAGCTATCCAGTACTCCCAGGTTCTCCAGTGGATCTCTAACTAATGTCAGCTCATGGTGAAATCCTCCATACAATCGAACATTATCATGTTGAAATGAATTACACATTTATAGTTGTGGTTGTTCGTGACTTTGAACAGTACTCAGACTGTTTCCTCAGTGAGTTCAGGATGTCATGTATCTCATAAGTTTTGACTCTTGAGTTTGATTAGTCATAAGCTACTGGAATTCACATAGACAATACTGATTTTGATGTGAGGCAACAAAATATCCCATACTTCGGTGGATGTAGAATAATTTGATTGGTTGGTGGATTTCATCACGATCTGATATCAGCAAGAGATCCACCGGAAAAAACCGGCAGGTAGTAATGGATATCTGTTTCGTCCTGGTTTTGGACTATTCACCGTACGCATCCGCCTCACTACCAGGCCGGAATCCAGGACCTTCCGGTTACAAGTCGAGCGAGCTGGTAGACTATTAAGCTACTGGGCCCCAGTCCTATGTCCAGTCCATGAATTCTAACTTCTGAGAATTCATGTCATGGCGAGAACACTTCGCAATGTCTGCTTTGGTGAGTTACTGCCTAACAGTCAATCCACTATAGACTACTGCTGACGGCTCCTCACTAGAACCCCGAATTAACTGCATGAATAGAGCCAGTTGCTAGTGAGTATCAGATTAATTTTCAAGAATTGGTGCAGTTGCGCTATATCATAAATTTGCAGAAGTAAGAATTCATGGACTAGCAATTGAATCGTGTCCCAGAAAACAACATATTGCAGATTTCAGTGGATGTAAAATATTTTTGACTTGGAAAAATTCATTATCAACTTACAAGGATTGCTGCAAAACATAAAGACGCACCAGAGAGAATTTTCAAGTATAGCTGGAATAAGATGTATCACGTTAAAAGAGGGATAGTGAATGTGTTTTAAAATTCTTCGATAAATAAAGTGAAATTATAATTTTGTTTAGTAGAGCAATGGTGAAAGTGAGTAGAAATGAACTTCGTTCTGGATTTTGGACGATTCACTTATATCAAAATGGGTTATTTTACACTTAAGCTCTCACTTTTTTGTAGCCTAGTCACACTTCTGAAGAGCGAATGATTAGAAGAACGAAATACATCAGTCACTAGAGTTATTTGTGCCCTACCTATATTTTAATCAGCAGCCCCTTGAAATTACTATGATTTTCACCTCAGATTTACTAAAATTTGCCCAAGTTATTGTTGTCAAACATTTCAATGAAACCGCATACAATAGCACAATATGGTCAGTCTCTCACCCCTCACATAACTGAGTTTTCATACGTATCACATCGCTCGTATAATCCTCTCTGCTAGTGATTTCAGCCCACTGAGCTAATTCCAACATTGTGAACCATAATTCTCTGGATATATCGCGTAAATCAACAACCTCACAACGTTCATTTTCTAAGTTTCCTATCTTCATACATTTATAACCACTGTAGTTTCAGATAATCTTCAGATGATAAGAACTTGTGAAACAAGAGGACATCATTAACACTGCAGATTCAGTCTTTCTTTCACTACTAAAATTTAAATACTACTCGGTTACCCCACTGATAGAAATGCTCGAGACTGTGGACTACTGTGACAAGCATTTTTTTCGAGTATCGTAGATCGATAAATAATTTCAAATACTGAAATATTGTATGGACGATTTCATTTAAAGTCTGAAATTAAACTGTTCATCGTGGGAGTCAGCAGTTTGCTATTGCTTTCAGCTACGACTTGCTACAGTCAATATTTTCCTATTTCCTTAAGTTATTATGCTTCTTATTATTGTGGATAACAATAAAATTTGCGTGCGAATCATTTTAAATTAACATAACTCACATTTCTTCGGAAGATATACATCGCTGATCCCGCAATGGCGAATACAGCTGCCAGTGTCATGAGTACAGTTAAGCCATTTGTAGGCAAGCCTTTCAATTTCCAAGAGCAGAGAATCACTATTAATGAAATCAGTAATGTCGCTCCAGCTGATATAATAAGAGTCACTAGATTATTGTGCAAGAATCCAGCACCCACAAAAAATGAAATGACCTGAGAAGAAAAATGTCTGAATTTGTAAACACTATTTTCTAATTCTATTTTAGTGAAGCATAAGATCGAGGAAACAAGATCTCTTCTTCAAGGTAATGGGAAATTTCTCTTCTGTCTCAGAAATTACTCAGACACCATGTGGAATAAGTCATTACGATTTTTAATGTGGGTCTACTGACGTAACGTAGTCATACACAGAATCATTAAAAGTCAAGATGCTAAGTTGAATACTCCTAAACATCAATGAAATACGTGGCGAGTCCCAATCGCTTTTCCTTTATTTCCTTGTTGACGTTAGTTCGTGACGACATCCGCACTGAAACTAAAAAGAATTACCATAAACGACAAATCGTCATTATGAAAGTGTTTTTGATTGATTAAGTTTATCCCACTTGCAAACGATCACTTCTGTAAAATGCTTCATGCTCGATATGGTAGCCTTTTTTGATGACACTTATTAATAAGTGACTGAAGAGTTGAGCATATGGTCATATAGTGTTGAATATTTCTCGTTGAGACAGAAGAATTACTCACTGTAAAACGTCGTATTGTGAACACATTCGTAGCACTCAAATTTCACGAAGTGATTGATAACATTAATTTTTATTACTGTCTTCATTCCTTTGAGTTCTGAGTGAAACATAGGGCTGCAACAATTCATCGGCACTTTGTTCTATTTCCTGATGTCCTCTTCAGCTGAATGTGGAAATTGTTGATTAAAATCGGCATACACCTATTGAAAATGCTTTTTTTGATACTCAGTGAAGGAAGTCTTCGCTGTCAAATCTCTCCTTCTGATGGTAATTAGTGTTAGTTATTGTTATCATTACCTTTGGCCGGTTATATTCATCAATTCCATCTTTATATATTCATTTGAAGTTCTGTCTCCGCTGCCTGCTTGCTTCTTCAGACAGTTTTTGTTTGTTTTCTATCTGTAAGTCTTCGGGTTTGTGTTACGTCAAAGAGATGTCAGCCACACGTGAAATTCAAACTTTCTACATTCTTCTTGTAGGTGGTCAAGCGAACTCATGTTTCCTTGCTCGCAAAGCACAGTCGACTGCATATTCCAGTCCACCACAATTAGGAATACTCTCCTAGGTGATAATAGCCAATTAACCTTGTCTAACTCATGTATTCACTTCGGACGCCCAAGTGAGTTTTAGCTTGTGGATCACCTAACACATGCCAGTGTCTTAAAGCTAGTTGTTGAATGAGGATGATAATATTTGAGCACTGTACGCCATAGTGTTGAAGCAGTTTGTAAATTACTTCTCGGTCAACGTCGTCGCTTGTGGGCCTTTTTGAAGTCAATGAAGTAAAAGTACAAGTTCGACTGACATTTTCAACTTTGTCCTCTGAGGATGCGTAGAGATTCATCATCGATTTATATTAAAAAAGCTTTGTTTCAGAAAGCATTTGAACACACGGTGGATACGTTTTCAGCGTATTCAGTTCCTAGATGTTTCTCCCTCAGGCAGGATTGACATGGGAATTATTCATCTCAATTAAAACATGTGACACTGTTGTTGCATTCGAAATCAGGACCGATTTGGCTGTTTTCTCCTCACTTCCTTGGTGAGAACTAATGGAATATGTGCACGATTTCATGTAGTGATCTCTTGATGTAACTGTAAAACAATAAGAAATGCAGAAGAGTTTACGCATTTCGCTAGTGCTTCATGCCGGCCTTGAATATAAATACTGTGATGAGAGAAATGTGTGACCTCACATTAATGCTCATGATACGTCAGTGAGGTGAATTCCCTAACAGGTCAAACGGTTTTGAAAAACGAGTGAACAACCTCCATGATTAGAATATTTTCAGCATTGAAACACAAAATGATTTCTTAAGAAATATTATTTATTTTCAACTCACATTCTGACTTACCACAAAGCCAATTAAAATGTAATTTAGTGGAAAAGTGGATTGCAGCTTCTCAATCAACAGTAATGCAACATAAACACCGATACCACAAAATCTAAAACACATACGCGTGTATTAGCACTGCGGAGTTCATATTCATTGTGATACAAGGAACATTATATAAGAAGAAAATTAATAAAAATTATGATTTCAATACATTATATATTCCCATAGTAAAACTTAAAGCAACACATTTAAGCGAACAATATTGTTTTCAATTAGATCTCATAAGGCTTCTGTATAATACAGTTAAGCCTGATGAGATCTAATTGAAAACAATATTCTTCGAATAAATATGTTGTTCTTAAATTATGGTTCACTGACTATCCATTGTGTATGCATAGCTCAGTCACGCATACCACAGTTTAAGACTTATACTCATGATGCATAGTTTTAAAATAGATGGATAGTGGTTGGTCACATCAACACTAATTGAATATGCATTTGATAATTTATATAAAACTAGAGGTGTTCAAACAGGAGTCACACTGTCCACCTATATCATTCTCAAGTGGCACGATCACAAATATGTGTTTACACATAATTTATTTTCATAGTCACAAAAGAAATACTTTCAAAGATGTGACACCAAACTTGTGGATTAGAAATCACAATTGCGTCTTGCAGAAAGCGTCAGTCAAGTGAGGCAGACTTCAGTCACTGCATTCAAAATGAACATAATTTGTCTCAACATATGGTTCGTAGTGCTGTTATTATTAACAGTGTATTAGTTCATGAGGATCCAGGTAGAACATATAGCTTCCAGGGGATGACTTGATTTCATGGCTGTTCTCTGTAGTCATCCTTAGCTGGATTCGTGATTTTCCTAAAGCCTTCTCCTCCTACTCCTTCTAACACGATTTCCTGAATGTTACTCTCAGACCCTTCTCAACGCGTCGATTGCGAATCAGATTGCAGTGGAATTTCTGCTATGATACCAACATACTCTAATGTACACACAGTTGAACTTACACGATAAGAAGTCCAGCAATCTTCTGCCAAAAGCCCAAATTCCATGTTCTACGGAAAAGATATTTCAGTGCAACATCAAGTCTATATTACGTACCATGCATTCATCATTCTTGTGTATTCCAAGGCCGAGAAAATTATTGACATAATTAAGACTTAGAATTGTAGGAGCAAGCACTTTCGTCAAACAGTTCAACGCCAATAGTCTTGAAAAAATCCAATTTATTCGCCAACCTGTGAACACCAGTTATCAAATTATAATGAGTCACTGCCTTCTTTCATAAACAACAAAAATGGATTGCGAGAAGATAGAAATCGAAGGTGTTTATGTGAATATTTCTCTGTAACAAGTATTCTGTATTATGAATAAATCAGATAGATCGCTTTGAGAACTGAAATCCGAATATTTCAGATTGTGATATCTGTTGCCTATGAGACATTAATATTGAAGAAGACACAATGACAATACAGCCGCGTTTATCTCACAGATTTCTGAATCACTTAATAGTCACATTTGCATATAAGTTTATATCTTATCTGTATAATTCTGAAATATTATTTCGTATCCATGTATAAATATTTCATGTCATGTATTGTATCTACTGTAGGAAGACTAAAAGTTAAAAAGGTGTATTATCACTTAACGGATAAACTCAATGTTGCCTTCATCACTTTTGTCCATATAAAATGACTGCTGTTGCATTTTACAAGCCTATATGTCAGCTTAGAAAATGCCAGTATTCTGAATGTACATGTAGTATGGTGGTGGGAAGAAGGACTAAGTCATTTTTGATTGCACACTAGCAGCTAGTGTAATGTGTCTAGTCCTATCTTCGGTGCAGACTGAATTTTATCAGTCAAGCTTGCAATGTGGCCACCCCTCAAGGTGGATCGCCATTATGGTCCACTGTGAAATGCTGGTATTGGATGATTGGAGGCAATCGACCACAGGAAGCCTTGGAACTAGGTTTCGCGCTAGCTGGCACTCATCATCAAGGCTTATCTCCAACCTTGAAGGAACTCATGTCCTTTCTGAGATTATAACCCACATCACCCAGTGCTGTAGTGAGAGATTTTACCAAAGTCCAAGGCTTCCTACCGATTGCCTCCAACCATCCAATATCATCAAATCAATGTTCATCGTGATTGTGAGCTACCTAGAATGGTGGCTACATTGCAAGCTTGACTGATAGAATTCAGTCTGCACCGAAGATAGGACTAGACACATTACACTAGTAACTATTGTGCAATCGAAAATATCCAATACAGTCATAAAGGAGGTCAATCGCGAGCCTGAATAGCTCAGTGGTAACGTCTCTGACGGCAGCACTGGGTGACGCGGGTTCGAATCTCAGAAGGGACATGAGTGCTTTCAAGGTTGCAGATACGCATTGCTGATAAGTGCCAACGAGCACGAAACCTGGGTCCAGGGCTTCCTGTGGCCGATTGCCTCCAACGATCTAATATCAACAAAGGAATAAGTCAGTTTAAATAATCCACTGCGTATAAGACTGTATCCTCTAGAATTCCTGTATAATTACAAAAGTCATTTACAGTAATATCAATGGCGAAGCGAAATCTTTTTTACCACCTTCTAAACTTTTATAAACTGTCTTAGTGTCTCATTCAGTATGGTGGTGAATAAAATAATTCAGTCAGTTTAAATACTCGACTGTGTATAAGAATGTGTTCTCTAGTATTCATGTATAACCACAAAAGTCATTTACAGTAATATCAGTAGCAAGGCGAAGACAGTTTATTTTCTTGTAAACTATCATAAACTGTCTTAGTGATAACATTACTGAAAAGAGAAGAAAGTGTGTTTCTTTTTATCAAGTAATACACAAAACAATGTGCTTCATTTTCATGAAGGTAGTTGTCGAAATTCAAGTCCGTTTTGAACCGCCCTGAGTAGTGAGCATTAATGCCTCGAATTCAATTGTTGAAATCCTACCGAACACTGTTTTACATTTCAACCCCCTGGAATCACTCACTCTATCATTTTCATTCTGTCTACCCAGGATTACTTCAAACAGTCTCATGTACAAATTGAAATTCTGTACCTCAAAATAAGTAAGGATAAAAAGTGTTAACAAACTCACAGTTTAGCTCTTCAGTGTAAATGAAAAAGTGTTCAACCCTGTTCGATAATAACATGGATATATTTATACTATCTTCGCCTACATAATAAATAATACACTGAAATAAACTGCAATGAGTAGATGTTCATTTGTAAACACCATAAAATCGACGCTATGAGAATATGTCAATTGAATTATTGTTATGACCAAAGTGTGGATAATAATCACCATTTTCGACTGTTTCATTTAAACTATGAAACATGATCACGATCAAAATGTATTCAAAATACGTTACACGTATTCTTGTGATATTATAAATGAAGCAAATAAAATCCTTCGCTAAATACGTTTCTTCGAAATGATCAGATAGTGTCTATAACTGAGCATTATATGATTAAATCAGAAAACTACAGATCCGTTTCCTTGTTTTTATTAGTCATCACAATGTGTGCGACACTATAGAAGAATATTAAGGTATTGAGATAAATGCATGAGAGTATGAAGGGAATAAACGGAAATGTTTTCACCTCGTCAGAGCTAACACAGTGCATTTCTAAATGTTTATTTACAGGGATTCTGTTGATCACATATTTCATCATAAAGGAATATCACTTTTAAAATCACTGATAAACCAGAAAGCATCGAACAGCCGTTTCATCTTAGTTTGGAGCTTATCGCGTCGACTAAACGCCTCATGAATGGCAGCTAATACCAACTGATGATGAACTGCAGCTGCCAGTCAATGACTGGACTGACAATGAGCTTGCCTTGTGGGTAAGAGGTTCTGATTTCCTACACTGAGTAGTGTGTACACGTGAGCTTATATTCAATCTTGTATTTAAAAACTGCACAAATCGATATTCACTCACTACCAATCCAAAACTGTCCTGAGATTTCTGTAATTAAATAATTAACACAAATTGTGGAACAAAACGTAAAACAGCTAGACGTAGATATACACCTGTACATATACCATTTAAAATAATAATGGACAATCTCTCCGAATTATTGTATTACTGCGTCAGAACCAAAGAGAGTGGGTAGTGGCGACACAGCTGAATAGTACTCGCTCGTTTTCCAATGGTTCTCTAATTGATATCAGCTCAAGAACAAACACGTAACCAATCGAATTGCCGTAAACAAACTGTAAAGAGTGTAACTGTATACTAAATCAAATCACCTATGTGAAGAATAATCTGCGTAATTTGGCTTCCAAAGTATTCAGTCAGTGTCATTTCCACATGCAGAAGCAAAATGTATTACACTGTGCAGTGGAGCTTACTCATTGTGACTAGAAGAAATCTGTTTCCGTTGCGAACATATTCCTAATCATGGAATGTGAGCCCTAAACCTGTCACAATTAGTCATACTAGAAGTAGTGCATCAGAACTATTACGTGTAAGCATTCTAAATCTCATGTTAAAACGTCAAGTGGTTGGTTTCAAAGGGTACTTTCATTCTCCGTCGCCTGATTATATTGAATTGAAATACTCTGTCTCTGTTGGCATGTCGACTCCCAGTACTGAGACTTGGAAGACGTCTACGGACTAATGTGAAGCAAATGTTTTTTGTTAGTAACGAGCATTGGAATGCGGGACGAGCAAGTCTTATTCCTTTTCGATTGTTGTCAGCTAAATTCATGCCTGCAATTTTTAATCAGTGGTGCTGTATTCATAGTGATACGAACCCTGGAATCTTCGCATCGAACGCAAAAGTATCACACCCTCGTGGCCTTCCAGTGAAACTCTACAATTCCGAGTTGAAACGCCATCACTCAATGAGCACTGAAGATTTATTTGGAAGATGAGTCACACAAAGAAGGAGAAAGTCAAATTAATTCATTCAAAATTTGACTTTCTGGCTAATTCTCACAATGAAATGCGAAATTCTTGCAGAACACTTCATGGAGGCTGTAGATATCATGTCAGTGAAATATGACGATGATGAGAAAGTAGCGAGAAGGGAATGTTATTCATTCGAAATATTCGAGAATCTGTATAAATTATTCAAAATTATATCAGTGTGTTTAAGAAACCCTCAAAAGAAGATTTTATTCTGAACGTCTCACTCTATGAGAAACAGCTTATTTACCAAAGTTTTTGTCATTTTACTAAGAATCAAAATATTCAGACAACAAATGTATGCAAATATATGATGTATATTTGTCGGGTCACAAGTCAATCCCTGAGTCACTCATTAGGATATTTACCGCGTTATTATGTAATAATGCAGTGATATTCGATACCTCTGATTGATATCACTCGTGAACACTGATTCCTAATGAAAAAACGGGCATCATGAATAATCACGAGACAAATAGACAACACACTTTCCGGTAACTATGCTCTGAAGCCTTTAACATCAAAGATATTAGTGTCCATCTGAAGCGACATATCAATCCAGAGAATTGTCACAAGTTGGAATGAAACTGACCTCGAGGTCATGGATTCGATGGTTTGTATTGAAGTCATGTGTTAGGTCTGCTCAACTTCCACAAACCAGGACTGAACAGACGTCCAGTAGTCCGTAGGGGTTTTCAGTACTTCTCGTACTAAAGTGAGTCGCTACCGGACTTGAAGTTAGATGAGACAGTTCGTTATAGGGTGTTCAAATTAAGTGACAATGTATAGGGGATAAAATGCAATCCAATTACTCTAGAATATAACCTTCTCATTTGGATAAAATAATGACCAGACCCTAGTTATTCAGAAGAAGCGCTCTAGTATCCATGTGCACTGCGAGCAACTATGTAGATATATCAATCTCAAATCAGTTGAGTTTCTCATTTAACAATGAAATTTCGCATTGACTCACCGACGTGAATTACGAGATTCTGTGAAATGAAACGATCTGATAAATGTTTTCACCGGTTAAGCAAATAAAGTGATGAACTCACATAGCGAATCACTTCAGAGAACGTGAGGAATGTGGGTGTCTTAAAACGTGTGTCTAATATATTCATCTGAGTTACCTTTACACCAATACACATCCTTCAACAGACAAGAACACACCGAACGCA